GAACAATGAAAAATGGCACAAATCGACCCAAGACCACCCAGAGGTTAATAGACAAACTGTTACAAACTGTTTCTGTGACCTCCTGCTCACCAAAAGGGTTATAAAAGCAGGAAGCTTACAACACAAGAAACAGATCTTCCAGACAGAATGTATCTGCAATAAAACCTCCCCCAGCACAGAGTGGCTGGAGAGGTGGTCAGAGACAAAGGAATGTCTTGATCCTATAGATTGAACTCAGACTTTACAAATTTAAGAAACCACAATGACAACATTTAACAATTAGACTTAACATTCCCCCCTTTTTGTCGTTGTATACTTAAATTTTAACTTATGCACCCTTGTTTGTGGCAGTGTCAGCGTGGATTTCATTCAGACACAACTCCTCACGTCATTCACCTTCTATCACTGCAAAAGTTCACATTCATGTAAGCGTTAACCTGCATCTCGTTGATCTCATACACAGTAAACTACATCCTGCAAATAAACAAATGAATGTCAACAGTCAAACAAGAAGAATCAACATTCCCAAAAATCATATGTCACTACAATCCAAACATATACAGACACTGGCATTCAAACACATCAGTTGATTTTATTGTTTGTCCATGTGGCTCTCAGCTAACTTCAAAGCTGTAGCCTGGTCAACACGCCTTTTATGACTCCTATCAACCCCTCAAATCTTCTCACTATAGGTATCCTGTGGGGGTTAGAGTCAACTGGTGAATCATCTGCATTTACAACTCTTCTCCTTTCCTGTTGTCTCTGCAGAAAAAGATTTTTAAAAGGAAATTAGATCAAGTTGTTTATGATCTTCTCCCCCCTTTTTGAGTCATGTCCACCCATGGCTTAAAACTTCAACCAGCTTAGAGAAGTTGACATGATGTAAATGTAGACAAAAAAAAATGCTTCTCTGTTTACATCTCTCCCTCGCAGAGGCGCTTTCAAATTAAAAATTGACACTCCTCTTGTGCCACACGGCTCTCGCCATGTGTCAACTCCCCAATGAGACATGTACAAGAATGTTGCACATTCTCTCTGAAAAATTCTCCAGGGTTTCCCTCTTGGAGCAGCTTCACTCCAAACCTGTAACCCTGTCAAAGCATCAGTCAGCAGTTAAATGATAAGATTGTTTAACTCCCAGCTCCACCCGCAGCCTGTATCCTCGAAGACAAAGTCTTTAAGCTAAAACAAACTTCACATTTGCAACCAAATGCAGCTCAAGTGTAATAAAGTATTCAGCATCACAGAGACAACTATCATTGCAGGTTTATTCTGAACTCATTAAACCCCTACGTTTTCCCATAATTTGCTCCAAATCATTGAACATCTGAACTTCATTCCACATTGTAATCAGTGACTTTCCTTAAGTTTGTCACTCACCATGAGCTCAATAGTGGTCAGATAATGAGCCCCATTTGACTATTCTGTAACCACTTGCACATCTGTTCAATTGTCACTTGTCTGTCTGTGCTGAATCCTTTACAAGCACTTACAACACAAAATCTCAGTAATCCTGTGGTAGAAAAACATCATTAAGTTGTGTCCTGCTGTAAATCACATGATCAAATCACATGATTAACCCTCTGCTGTAGAAAAGAAATGTAAATGTTAGCGCTGCGTATACACTCTTTCTCACAGTGCACTCTGTGAACAACACAAAGTAGTGAATAACACACCTGGTAAATTCACAAACATCCAGAAAAATTACAGCTAAAAAGGTTAAATTTGCAGAGTTCACATAGTCATGTGACCCAAGTTTCCTCCCGTGGTCTCCTCCTGTTCCTGCAACAAGAGACACACACAGAGATACATCCACACCTTTGTCTGGTGGGGGTTAACTTCACATAATGTTGTTAAGTCAGTCAGTCCCCCATTTCTTTTATTTTCACTCATTCATTCACTCAATGATTCTTTCTTTTGCTGAAAAAGAATTTAGACTGGATTTCCTCGTTAAACACTTATAGAAAAAGGGACTCGCTTCCTAATTGTCCCAATAAGTGACTTTCTCCAGAGCCCATTTTAATTTTGGAGAAATTCACTTTGCAACCGTTCGCAACAACATGTTGTGTAGTTCTTCCTATTCAAACGTTCAGATCTGCTTAGATGACAGGAAAATTATCAAACAAAACTTTCAGTGCACTATGAAAGTAACAAAATAAAAAGAATAAAAGAAAGGAAAGGAAAGGCCTTGTTAAATCATGACACGTGTTCTTCATTTCAGGGGGGTAAATCATACCAAACCTAATTGGCAGGCTCAACTTAGTAACAAAAGACAAATCAACAGCCAGATTAATTCCAAAACATCCATCCATCAGCCACACAACACACAACATAAGCCTAAGTTTGTTTATTAGCTATGAGTTTAATCCCCATGGTCTGTGCTTCTTCACTCATTTAGGTCACAGACCCATTTTATTCGGTTTTCCTTTTTTCCCCGTCATCACAAAACATGTGACATGTTGTCATGTACTTCACAAAACAAGTTTGTTCTTATGTAGTCAGAGGTGTGTATCTGGGAGCAGGATTCACCCGCACATCAAAACAGGAAACTCAGTGTTTTAGTCTCCACTCTAACAGACTCCAACACATCCCATTCACTTGTGCTAAAATTCACCTAATAGTCACCTTTCCTTAATCAAATAATGATCAACTAATTTGCATATCAGCTATTAACTCACCAAGTTGACAGGACAACAGAAATGCATGTTCAAAATATTATCACAAAAATAGAATATCCTTCAAACAGTAAATTACTTGTGCTGCATCAATCAAGCAGAAAGCATCTCCCAATTTACTATATTAACAACTAAATTTATTGTCTGATCACTGGTTGGTCAAACCAGAATCTTTTTTTCCCACAAACCCACAACTGTTGTCCTGTAACCTAGAGAGTTAATTGTCAGCATTGGATAAATTCAGCATTTGATAACAAGGTGATTTTCATTGCATGTGTGATGAAATACATCACAGTGGGGGGAAAGAAGGTACAGGTAAATACATTATGAGATAGTCAAGTGACTGAAAATGAAACCTGACTAGAGAACCAAACACAGACACTGAGAGAAACAAAAACGAAACTTTAATACAAACTGGAATTAAGAACTTAAGACTGGAAAGTCTGAAATGCATAAGGCTGGAAATGTAAATAAACAGCAAACAGAAAAACAAACAGAAGATATTTAATAATTAGCAGTACCTGAAAGTCCAAAAGCATGACAAATTGGGTCAACAACACTGGACCATCCTCTTTTCAGGATCCAGCACTGTGAAGTTCCCAATTAAACCAGAAGGTCCACTTAAAGTCACGAGATGCAACGTATAATTTTGCTGTTGTACTGAAATATTTAGAGGACAAATGTCCCTATACATATCTGGCTTGTTAGTAAGGTTGAAGACACTTCTGGATCTTCATTAATTATGTTAAGAGGCATTAGAGTGTGAGCCTCCATTCTCATTCTCTCTCTTTGTCTGTATTTCACAGGAGGAAGCTATAAAAAGATCGGATACTACGACAGCACTAAAGGCAATCTGTCCTGGTATGGGAATGACAAGTGGATAGGTGAGGAACATTCATCTTCCTATGCCCCTTTGTTTCTCTGTCTTATACTCCACCCTGCACCCTTGTTCCCCCAAATTCCTTTTTCCTCCCTCTGTTGTTACCCTCTCCTCTTTACCATCTCACTGTCTGTGGTCAAAGATTGGTGGTCAATTTGCATACATTTTTTTAGGTTTTCTTTAGCATAGAATAGAATAGAATAGCCTTTATTGTCATTGTACAGAGTACAACGAAATTGGAGTGCCACTCCCTTGGTGCAAGAT